AGCCAGCGTGAGCGGTCAGCAGCCGCAGTGAGCGGCTGTCGAGAAGTTGGCGACTGATCTGCCACGCCCGGGATGAGCGCAATGATGGTGCCAACTTGGGCCAGTGAAGCAATGTCCTCCACAACTAGACTGAAGAACAAAAGGAGAGCAACTTGTCTGTTCCCCTTCCCCCAATTCCCCAGCATTGTTCCCATCCCCCAATTCCGCAATAAAAATCTTTAAAAAAAATAAAAATAAAAAAAATAAAAAATAAAAAATAAGAAGTCCTGTCTAGGGCCGGCCAAGTGGCTCAGCTGATTAAGAGTGCGAGGTCTAAGCAATACGGTCGCTGGTTCGATTCCCACATGGGCCAGTGAGCTGTGCCCGAGCTGAGCTGCCAATGAGTTATAAACAGGTGGCAGGATGGCTCAGCTGGTGAGAGCACGTGTTCCTAACAGCAAGGTTGCTGGTTTGAGGCCCGCATGGGATGGTGGGCTATGCTCACACGCAACTAAGATTGAACATGGCACCTTGAGCTGAGCAGCTGCAAGCTGCCAACGGGTGGCGGGATGGCGACTGGACTTGGAGCTGAGCTAGCTGTGCCCTCCACAACTAAGATTGAAGGACAATAACTTGGCTGTTCCCCTTCCCCAATTCCCCAATAAAGTCTTTAAAATAAATAAATAAATAAATAAATAAATAAATAAAAAGTCTTGTCTAGGCTAGCCACAGCTGAAGTCCTTGCCATATCTGATTTTCAACAATAAAAATATTCGAGAATGTTATATTTAAAGAATTTATGATGTGAAATTTGAATATCAGTGCCATGATTCTTGATATCGTAATTTTTAGCAAACAAACTGCCATTTCAATGTCACAATAACTGAGATTTCTTGTAATCAGTGTGATTTTTTTCTAAATAGGTTCTGAACCTGAGGTGTTGGATTTGCGAACATGTTCATTACTACACTGTACTAAAACATGTTCATTTTTTTATAATTACACTCTACAAAACTACCATCTTATTAGTAAAAACAGTATTTATTAACTGAGGATGTTTTGCTAGTCTCATTATTCAGTTTTGTTTTGTTTTAAGTTTCAAATGTGAAATGTCTATAAACTGGCCCTTTTTATAAGGTCAAAAATTAGGGCAAAATGTCTAAAACAAGTAGGGGGATATCTAGTTTTGAATGGTTTGGGCAGAAACATGAAGTAGATATTTAATACATAATTCATTTATGAAGACTAGAGAAGTAAAAGACAATATGGACACAGCTTCCAGCATCACTGCAGCCCTACTCTTGAAGCATACAAACATCTTCCTTTACAAGCACCCTTCCAAGAATTTCCAAGTAATAAATAGGTAGTAAGACCAAAGGTTTGACTATAGAGCACTACTGCCCATAGCAAATGAAACCAAACCCTCAATTCCTGACTACTATCTAGTGCATTGCTCTATGCCTACAAAGCTACAAAGCTTCTCAAGTAATTTTATGCATCAGGAGCCTGATGTGGAGCAACAGCTGGTCTAACAATGATGGGAAAGGAAGTCTGCCTCTGAGTGCTATTCTCCTGCTGCCCCATGCTGGGGTCTTATCACAAATTCTCCAAAAGTTTCTCAGCACAAATGTCACTATTGGTTAGTCAATAATGAAACTAATCTGAGCAGTTCAGTTTATAGTAATATGTATCAAGAGTAGTGGATCTTTAGAGAAGATTAATTTGGTTTAGGAATTGAAGTACATGTTAACATGAGAAAAAAACCCATGAAAGAATATCTTGGTTTGTTGATTCAGCTCACTGGGATGAGTTATTATAAACATTAAGTAACTTAATCTGAGTACTTATCCTAATTATAAAATAAGTAGATGTATGTTACAGAAAATTAGGAAAATATAGAGTCTAAGGGGGGAAAAAAATCACATAGGCTCCACACACAGAAAAAAATAGGCAGTTCTCGCTTTTGCACAGGACTGTTAACAGGAACCTGTGCACACTGGAACTGTGTCCTCGCTTTGCATGGTTCTGTGGTAACTGAGATCAAATCTGTATAGTGCCTATACTACTAATTTCACATTTTTTCTTCTAAATTATTCTTTATGTAATGTTTTTTAAAAATACTAACTGGGTATACTATATTATATTTTCAGTTTTACATATTGGCTTTTTCAATTAATAATAAATGGTTTTCTCAAGACGCTAAATATTTTTTAAGAATATGATTTATAACAGCTACACAGTTTTCCATCCTATAGATACACTGCAATTTAACATAAACCTTTCAATTCAATATGTAATGTATACTGTTTCCAATCTTTTGCTATTATAAATAATGCTGCAATGAATATGTTGATTAATACATTTTTGTGGGTATCTCTAATTAGTTCCACAGGATAAATTCCTAGAAATGAAATTACTGAGGGAAACGGCATGAACATTCTTCAGGCTCTTAATGCATATTGTGAAATCCACATCTCACATTAATGTTCTTTAAAAGAAGTTACTGGGTTGTCGGAAAAGTCATGACGCATTTTTTCAACGAAAAACATAGAAAAAATACATCATGACTTTTCTGACAACCCAGCAGAACAGAGGTAGCAAAGGCAATCTTTTATGAGCTCCTAAAAATAAATGAGTACCCTTTTCCTCACACATATTCACTGAAAGTAAACCTCTAATCCTTTTCTGCCATCCCACCACATTCCTATATAGCTCTGAAAAGAATATGACCACTATTCCTCCTTTACTTTTAAAGATTACTCATAGGCTTCCTAGATTTCCTCTAGTCTTTTCTCCTTTCTTCTCTCCAAGAAGAGGAAACTTAAATTTCAAACTCAACTCTGAGACTATCTTTTATATAGATCTAAACTATGAGCACTTATGGAATTAAACAGACCTGGGTTCAATTCTAATCCTAGGTACTTACTAACTGTATTACCTCAGGCTACTCAATCCTTCTGGGCCTGTTTACTCATCTATAAGAAGGGATAATACTACCACTTACTTCTTAAGACTGTTTAGAGAATTAAGTAAGATAATAATGCAAAATGTGAAGTACTTATTCTTAACATACTGCTTGGTATAGTAAGCACTCAATAAATATTAGACAATATTATTACAGTGAGATTTTTCTGAAGCCCTGTTTATATCTGAAATAAAATAATAGATGGGCTAGTCTAGTTTTAGTGCTAACAGGCAGCATTAAGATGACAAAATTTCCAAAATCCTCACAAGAAGGAATAAATGAAGTGTTTTATATTTGAGTGAACACATTTTTTTAAAAAGCCACATGTTAAAACATAAGAAAATATCTTTCAAAAACAGTTACTTTAAGAAGTATTCTGGGGGGCCAGCCGAGTGGTGCGATGGTTAAGAACTGGCTTGGGACGCCAGAGGGCCCCGGTTCGGATCCCACATATGAGGGCCAGTAACACTGCCCTCCACAGCTAAGATGCTGAACAACAGCTCAACCTGGAGCTGGGCTGCCTTGAGTTGCCTGCGACGGCGTAGGCTGCAGCCCCTGT